TGTGCATGAGGGGAGGCTGGCTCTCTCTTGGCACATCTACTCTCTCTCTCACGGAACTAAGTGCTACGATGTGAGCCACCTCTAGAGTCCGTGTGAGACACCTCTTGAGTTCGTATAAATATATTTCAAGGGCTTTATGCCACTCTCAAGGGCTTTATGCCACTTTCAAGGGCTCTATGCCACTTTCAAGGGCCTTGTGCCACACGTTTCAAGGGCCTTAGTGCCATATGTTACAAGGGCTTTATGCCACCATGTTTAAGGGCCTTGTGCCACTATGTTCAAGGGCATTATGCCACCATGTTTAAGGGCTTCAAGCCGTTATGAATTAAGAATGTGATATATCAAGCTTTTATGTTCAAGATTGGGCCTAAGGCCGTTATAAGATGAATACAGAATCAGGCTAACTTTGTAACCTCTGCATTTACACATATATTGATATATGTCATGTTTTAAGTTGAGCATTGCTTCATTATGTATTACTATTCACTGAGCCCGGCTCACTCTCTGTTATGTCTGTTTCTGTAGGCAACCAACCAGATGGTCATTCCTAACCTATGATGCCCGGTTCCTTTTGACAACCTTCGTGTATCCAAGCACTCTCAAGGCCACCCATTTTGTGAAGCCTACTAAGATAATTGGCCTTTTCTTGGCTACCCTTCTAGGGTCGATTGTGTATAACTCCAATAGTTTTTGTTGCATGCCCGACTACAGGGCTGGGTCTGTCTATGTATTTGTACATATGTACTGTCAAGAAATATTTTTATGGACTCTATCAACGTCTTATGGTGCACGTAATGTTTGAGATCCTGGCATGTTAGGAATAGCTCAATGGGATTTGCTTAATTTTGTATTCTTGTATGTTTTGTGCTTCCGTCAAGGCCCCATATGATATATATATATACCAGGTTATCTGTCTGTTTCTGAATAAGTCATGCCCGAACTTTTAGGGGCAAGTTTGGGGTTGGGACAAGTGGTATCAGAGCACGAGTTGCTATCTCACACACGGGACCATTGAGCTTTAGCCTCATTTGTTCTACTTTGCAGCCGGTGCGACAAGTTTGTGACCGCCGTCATGGTCTCCACACATGACTTCAAAGGATACTGATTGGCCTCAATATCAGTTTGTACTGCCATTTTTTGCTCCACAGACCGCATCGGAAAGTTCAACGGAGCAAAATCAGAGGTGTTTGGTTGAGGTTCACAGGCCATCGCACCAGTTATCTCTCTTGTTGACTCGTTGAGGTCTGGAAAGAGAGTGAGTAGACTACGAGACGAAGAGGCCATTTTTTGGGCAACCGAGTATTACAGGGTGTTTCAAGATTTGCAGCTTCGGGAAAGAGAGTGAGCAGCCCACGGGAAGACGAGGCCATTTTCTGGGCAACAGAGTGTTACAGAGTATCTCTCTCAAGACAACGAAGAGTTTCTCAGCGGTTTTTAGCCAGTTTTTTTCGCCTCAGCCTTAGCCTCAGCATCCGTCTTGGTTAAATAACCAAGGCAGACACGCGCATCGCGCGCCACTTGACGCCAGACGACAAAACGGGCGCGCACGCCAAGGTAGTCACGCGCCTCGCCATCATGTCCGGCACACCTTTTTATGGATTGGGCACGCCTTTTGACAGATTGGGCACACCTTTTGAGGGTGCGACTTTTACAACGGTCCGACATGACCCATAAACTGTCCCGACATTTGATTCCGGTTAGTTTTTCCAACGGTCCGACATGATCCCATAAACTGTCCCGACATTGATTCCGGTTAGCTTTTCCAACGGTCCGACATGACCCCATAAAACTGTCCCGACATTGATTCCGGTTAGCTTTTACAACGGTCTGACATGACCTCGTCAACTGTCCAGACTTTATCTGCTACAACGGTCTGCCACGACCATACAGTGTCTCCTATCCTCTTTTATTTTATGTCTTAGTCTATTTTCTTGTTTTGTTACTCTCTCCAAACTCAAGTTGGTTAGTTCCTATCCCCCTTGAGTTTGCGGGGGGCTGTTAAAACCTACCACTTACTACACCTACCACCACCTACTCCACCTACTACACCTACTCCACCTACTCCACTTCACCTACTCCACTACACCTACATCTCACTACACCTACATCTCCTATATAAGGAGCCCCTCACCATTTGTAATACACAACATACATCAATCAATAATACATCAATTTTAACAAAAATTAAAATTTTGATTTAATTCTTAAATTCACTAATATAACAATTAATTAAGACATTAAAAATAACATTCTTTTTCATATCTTTTTTAATTATCAACCAGTCATATTATTTATACATCATTGGGTTTAAAAAATAAATTTATATATTATTTTTTTTAATTTAATTTAATAGCATATGTTAGTTTTATTTTTAAGGCCCCGTTTGTTTGGGGTTATAGGGAGGGGATTGGGATTGATAGTGAGGTAAGACTACTATATGGGGTGTTTGTTTTGAGAGATGGGGAGGGAACTCCTAATCCCTTGGTATTAGTAAAGGCCTTGGAAGGGGGATTAGTAAGGAGGAGGTAGAGATGGTATTAAAAAAATAGTGAAGGGATTAGAATTTTTTTTTATTTTTTATATATTGAGAATTTTTTAAAAAATATTAATGTTTAATTTTTTATATTTTTTTATTTGTTTTATTATTTTATATAAAAATAATTTAACAATTCGTCACTATCAATCCCCTCACTATTAATCCTCTTAATATGAATCCCCTCCATTCTACCTCTGAAAACAAACGGGCCCTAAAGGCATTAGCTTCTCTTTAGTCTTTCATTGGGCTAGAGAGGTGTTGTCCGACCTAGTGAGTTCACTTTTGAGTCTTATTTCAATAATTCAAACTATTCATATTTTAGAATTCATTGAATACATCATTTTTACAAAAAATCAAGTCGATCGGATAACGAAAACCACATATTCGGATCAGTTTTGTATTAAAAAAACGAACAGTGAAAAAATAAACGATTTATACAAAATTAATCTGAACACAGATTTTCCACTATCCGATTGATTTTATTTTTTGCAAGAACAATGTACTCGATGAATCATAAAATGTAAACGGTTCATATTATCGAAACAAACCCAAAAACTGGCCTAGTAGATTGAACTGGACTGTTCGATTTAATGAAAGAGTAGAGATAGCCTAGTCGTATCTTTAAAATACATGTTAAACAGAAAGTAATATACATTGTTTATTCATTCACTTTCATGAACAATGTCAAGGTACACATTAATAACATTTTATTAAGTTGTAAATGTTTTCAGTTATATTCATATCTACATATAGTAAAACATGCTGGACTTCTCTAGATAGACAGGACTCAATTCCATCAAGCTGGAGTTACATTATATAATAAAACATGTATGTCATTTGTTGCCCGAATCAGCCCAATAATATAGTTATTCTAAGTTTGGTCTAGAAAAATTCCCAAGTCTATTCATTTAACTTAATATGTATAATTTTTTTAAGACCTTTGAGAGTTATTAAATGAATTTGGCTGTATTAATAATTATTTAAATTTGAGGCAGTACGAGATTTTCGGTCTTTTAAAATATGTTTGAAGTTAACTCTTAAAATATGATCATGCTAACTACAATTGTTAGGATTATGAATAAAAAATAAATAAAGATGAAATATTTATAATTTTAATATATTTTTTATATAAATTTATTAACTCTTACACACATCAATGCTAATTCCATACATATGCGTATCTTTTTTATTTTACTAATTTATTATATAATTAAATGGCCGAAACTGGGCTACGCTAGGCTGGGTCGAAATTTCTTATCTTTGATTCGCCGTGAAAACTAAATGGACTCAAAATATTACCCTATCCAATCCTGCCAAAATACTTATACCAAGCTATTAAAAGTGACTTTTTACCTCAACATTCAATTCATGGCCCGCGGCCCAATTAGTTGTTCAGGCCTCTAAAATTCTCATTTAGTGGATGTGACTTGCACATCGATAAATTATGCTCAAAAGCGACCTATTTCAGCACTTTATCCATTTGGGCTTGGCAAATTAGCAAATTCAGTGGTGGTTAGGATTTTTTTCCCCTCATTTTTTTTTTAATTTTTTACAAAAAATTTATAAAAAAATTAGAAAGAATAATATGATAACGTGTATAATTTTTTGTGACTATTTTAGTTTGTTTCCAAATCAGCTATAAACGTTTAAAATAATTTGGCTAAATTCTAAAAATAAACCCAAGATCATGTGACTTGACATTTTGATTAACTTATTTCGAAATGGTCTATTTCAACATCTTCATCTTTTTTAGGTTTCAATAACAACTCTGAACATTTAAGTTTGTCCATTTTGAATACTTTTCGTCATGCCTTACCAAATATTTGTGTTGGTTTTCTATTTGCATAAAATATATAGGGCAAATTACATTTTGTCTTCTTTAAGTTTGATTACTTTTTCATTGTGGTCTTTAAAATTTATTTTTTCTCACTTTGATCTTTATGTTGTGTTTGGTTGGAGAATTTAGAGAGAGATTTGAAAAGGAAAAAGGAAAAGATGCATGAAACTAAGTGAAATGTAGATATATTTTATTCACATTTCACCTACTTTTTCCATTTCCCTTTCCAAATCCATCCTCAAATCTCCCAACCAAACACAACATTAATGTTTCAAGTTTTTTCAAATTTACTCCTAAAGTTAACTTATATTTAAAATTAGACATAAAATGTCATAATAATTATTACATAACATAAAAAATATATTATTATTTTAGAGTTTAAGTTTCTATCAGAAGTGTGAGTAACATATAATAAAATATTTTTATATCACGTAATTGTTAATGTGTCATTTTTTGTATAATTTTTAACATAAATTAACTTTAGGAGTAATGTAAGGAAAATTTGAAATATATGAAGACCCAAAGTGAGAAAGTGACTAAATATAAAATGATTACCCAAATATATACTATGATTGTCCATGAACTATTTATAAGTATTCGTCTCTAGGATCTGAGTTCCGAATTCTTTATCTGATCATTCATGGATCGTTAATTGGTTAAATTGTCAACATGCACAAACATATATATGTGAAATATTTTTTCTGGTTTAAATTAAGAAAATTCAAATTCAAATTTGAAAAATACATTGAAAATACAAGCCAAGTAGGCCTCAAGACCTCGCAAGTTATGTACTTTCAAATTTGCATTTATTTATTTATTATTCTTTACAGACAACTCTTGGGGATGACCGTGCCCCTGCTGGTTCCACCTGCATTGGCGCAAAATGCAGTTGCTGGTCGATTTTCGAATGTAAGTTGTACGTCTCGCAGTCGGATTCCTCTGCACGGGTTACTTGGACTGCAATTGAATGTCACAGCCACCGGGGTCGATGATGTGCCCTTAATGTTGCGGTATGTCACTTGATTCACTTTCACTCCAGAACTCTGCCATGCATATGCAACGGAATTATGAACATGTAAATGTACAACAATCAGAACAACAAAACAAAAAATTAAAAGGTACCCTTGAGATAGTTTTGTATGGTAGGCAACAATACTGATCCAATCGTAGCAAGTTAATCAATGATGCCATGTTGAAATCATAGTTTACTGTAAATTATGAGTAGAACCAATTTTCTTTTTAAAAAATTGCTACGAGTTTTCTATAAATATTATTTAATATTGAGATTGAGATAAAAGGTATCTCGAAAATAAGTGAAATAGTTTAAAAATTACATTAAAAACTGTATTGAATTCAAACAAAAAGTATATATATATATATATTTTTCAAAATCACATATTAGCATGACCCATTTTCCAATTAGAAAAGTTAGCAAGTCATTAAAATTAGCATAGCCAGAGAATCTTCTCGTGGGAGTTAGTTTTTTGGGTTTTTTTAGTTCAACTTATTATAGTCTTTGAAGCTTTTTAAAATTATGTCAAATTTTTTACTTTTTAGATTTATCTTGATTAGATGATCGTAAAATAAAATAAAAAAATTTGAATTTCTTTTGGAAACGGTTTACAGAAATAAAAAATAAGTCATTTTTTTCTTATTTTCTTACTTTTTATATATAAAAAAAATTATTTAATTTTAAGGATCATTTTAATCAAGACAGAATAAAAAGGTAAAGAAAACTTTACAAAATTTAAATATATATATTAAAAAAAAAAAAGGCCAAACTAAAAAAAGCCAGTTCTAAAAATTCAAAAAAAAAAAAAAAACCTTAGCCAAATGAAGCCAAGTGAGTAACTACATTTTTATATTTTGTGAGGTGTGACTACATATATAATAAATCCGAATTATACATAACAATTTTTATTTATAAATTTTTTGAAATTGGAAGGTGTAATTTTGGAGAAGAATGGTTACCATAGTAGGACACTGGTTATTAGGGCAATATTCTTGATCGATGATGATAGGGTTACCGACATTCCTCATTATCACATATCTAAACTCTATGTTTCTTGCAAATCCATTACTTGGTCTCGCCCATGTCTTTATGCGCACCCCATTCTGAGTTCCGGTGAAAACAACCCCTGTTACCGTCACATTTTGGACACCGCCTTCAATGAGACCGTTGCCTAGGCTACCTATGCTGTATGATATCACAGCCAATATTAACCATCAAAATTAATTGTAGTAAGTGAGAAAGTTCACAAACATATATAGCACAATTTAGCTAACTCATCTGTTTTTTTCATGTTTTTTTTTTTTTTCTTCTTTCCCAACTAATGGGAGCTTTTGTTAATAATTCAGTCTGTAAGTTCCATGTTTGATAAGGTATGTGTAACAAAATGTATTCTATGATTGATTATAAGGGTAAATTACATTTGAAATGGTGTTAATTTTTTAATTGATTTTATCAGTTTCCTCTTAGTTGATTTGTGAAATGACTAAAAAAAACATTTTCATTTGCAGAGGAGTAATTAAACTTGAAAATAATTGTATCAAAATTTGAAAGGGCTATTCTTAATTGGTTTACTGTGTGTTTCACATATTTAAAAAATATATATATATATATATATAGATTTTGGTAAATAGTTTCATTAAAAAAAATGTTATTGTTTCATTTTTTATTTTATTTTTTCAATGAAGCTAGTTTTCCATGTTGAGAGAAAAGAAAATTAATTTTTGTTGTGTTTATAGAACTTTAAAAATAAAAAAGATGGGCTTTCTTTAGAAAACACTCGAATTTTTATGGTATCATTAATTTTGAAGAGTTGTTGGTGGTGCACTTATATTTTTGAATAATGTTTGATCCATGGAATTTTGTTCTGTTTGAACTATCTGAATAAATATCTTACATGTTCGAACGAAGCAAAATTCGGTCGTACTGCATTTTTTTAGTGCCGTAAGGTTAATCTGTATTTATTGGAATGAATGACAGGTAAAGTGGGAATTAAAAAAAAAAAATTATACTTACCACCCAAAAGAGAAATCCAAAACACAGGTTATCTGAAAAACTTAAGAGGGAGGTATTTATAAAGAATTGGGATCCTTTCCTTGCACTCTCTCCTTGCATTCCTCCTTGCAGGGCTTTTGGGCCCATTTTTAGGTTCAATTTTGATAATTCGAACCGTTTATATTTTAAGATTTATTTAGTATATCATACCTATAAAAAAATCAAGTTGATCGGATATCAGAAAGCATTTGTTCGGAAAACTATTTATTAAATTGTTTAAAACAATAGTTTTTAGTTCGATGTTTCGGAACACATGCTTTCTGATATCTGATCAACTTGATTTTTTACAGGTATGATATACTGAATAAATTTTAAAATATGAATGATTCGAATTATCAAAATTAGACCTAAAAGTAACCCAAAAATCCTGTAAAAAAGAGTGCAAGTAAGAAGCGCAAGGAAAGAATATTGGCTCATCCATAAGAGTCTTGAACTTTAGAAAAAGTCAGTATAGTTTATCATAATTAAAGCAATTGAATATTCATTTTTAGATCATGAGATCCCTCTTAATCAATTCCAAATCCTAATGCATGTTTAGTTAATGAAATGATTTTGTTTAACAAAGATCAAGTACATAAATATCAAGTCAACCAAATATATTAAAGTATTAGCATTACATTTTTTAATTAAAAAATTTAAAAAAGAGAAAAAGAAAAAGAAAAAGAAAAAGAAAAAGCAATGAACCTGATGCCATGGCCGGGGCCGCAGGCGATGCGCTGGATCCAGACGTTGGTGGTGGCCGGTCCAATGGATATGCAATCGTCTCCGGTTCTGAATACACTCCGAGTTATGGTAACTCCGGTCGACGACTCCACGTGTATCCCATCGGTGTTAAGACTACTAGTCGATGCTCTAACATTTAGATTTTGAATATTCACGTTATCACACTGCGCTATCGCTACGTGAATTACCTGACTGTTGATTGATCTTAACCCGTTGATCTTCACATTGTTTGATGCAAGGAACGTTATTGACTGCATTGCATTCACACACACGTGGTTGGATCATCTTTATAATTCTAATTATATCAATTTTGTCTTTTAATTTTTTACATTGTATTGATTTAGTCAAGTTGATTAATTCTTTAAGTAATTAGACATAAATCAATGACATAATATTTCATTCAAATGTGAATGCACGTAGTTTTTTAAATTGGATGTTTTTACTTATTGATTTTAGTTCAATTTCTACTTCAATTATCAATTGACATAATATGAAAATTTTAAAGATAAAATCAATAAAATTAGAACTATAAAGATCGAATTGATACAAATTAGTTTTTTTTTTTTTTTGTAGCGAATTATATTAATAGTCCCTATAATTTGGGGCTTGTGTCACTTTAGTCCATGATTTTTCAATCGTGACACATTTTATCCTAAATTTTGAATTTTGTTCCAAATAAGTACAATTGAAAATATCATTACTCAATTTTTAGGGCAAAATCGTTAATTTGATAAAATATAAACTAATTTGACAAAAATAAATGTCAAAAAATATTTTTGAATTTTTAAAAATTATTTTTACCCACTAAAGATAAAATTATATAAAATTAATAAATATTTTACGCATTTATTTATTTACTTATTTTACCAAATTAGTTTTATTATATATTTGGATAATAATCCTGAGTGGTTGTTAGCATTTTAATGTGTAATCGATATATTTAATATATTAAATGTTTTTAGTTTTAAATTTTTTGATTTAATGTATTGGTTTAATAGTGATATCAAAGTTATTGCCATATTTAACTTTTGGAAAAATAGAAATTAATTTAATGAAAATAAAAACAATCACCCATTACATTATTATTATTATTATCCAAATACATAATAAAAATTAATTTGGTAAAATAAATAAATAACTAAAAGATTTATCAATTTTACATAATTTTATTTTTGGTAGGTAGAAATAATTTTTTAAAAATTCAAATATATTTTTTTGACATTGATTTTTGTTAAATTAGTTTATATTTTTATCAAATTGATGATTTTGCTCTTCAAATTAAGCAATGGTATCTTCAATTGTTCTTATTTGGAACAAAATTTAAAATTTATTGTCAAATGTGTCACAATTAAAAAGTCAGAGACCAAAATAACACAAGTCCCAAACTATAAGGACTGTTAATTTTATTCACCCAAACAAATATGAATAAGAGATAATTATTTATCTCGCTAATTCAACCCAATAACCAAATCTATACTAATCTCATAGATTGTTAATTCTATTACCAAACATAACGTAAAAGTATTGCCTACAAAATTAATTTCTATTTGGGTTTTTTATCAATAAAAAAAATGAAAGTAATGAATAAAAAATTTACAAAGATAAACCAAATATTATTTTCAAACATTTATGGTGTATTATAAAATGCATTTTTTTCTTTTAAATTTTAAAGGCATTTATGTGTAGTGAATATATGAATTATTATTTCTTACTCTATCTACACAATTTAATTGAGGAATGTAAGTAAATTTTATCTTGTTAAATCTAATCACTTAAAGAGCATCCAAATATTGTAAAACTTCAATCTTTCTGTTTCTTGAAGAAATATTTAAATAAATTGAGACAAATTATAATTTATAATGTGTAGGGATAGACAAAATGGTAACAAATAGTAGACGATTTCTCAATCACTCTTATTTATATATTATAGGGAAAATGGTAAAAAAGCTTTTTACGGGAATCGGTTACTTCAATCAGTCTCATAAATTTTCTAATGATAGTCTAGTGTGAAGAATGCATGGGTTCATTATTATCATTAAGGAAAATATTTGTTAATAAAAAATATAAAAAATACTTTAATTGTACCCATAATAATATAGGATTATATGTATCAATTTTTAATTTATTATATTGATAGTGTTATATGTACTAATTAGTGTTCTAACTAGTATATTAATTGATGATGTGATATAATTTAAGAGGTTTTTAATATTTATAATGTGATTAATGAGTGGGGTTAATAATAATATCATAACTAATATTGATATACTAATTGATACATATAGCATTATTCTTATTATATACTTAATAAAATAAAACTTAACTTTATTGTGATATCATTCTAGGTGAAAATATAAATATAAAAATTTAAGGCCAAGTTTGCCATTTCAAAAATAATTCAAAAAATAAAAAAGTTACACAAAAAGCAAAAAAGACATTACTATTCATAAATAAAAAAATATTTAAAAAATAATTTATATATTACAATACTATAAATGGACTGAATAGCTATTCTTAGCCGTCTTGTGATAGAGACAGGCATTACACACTTTGTTTAGAGCAAAAAAAAAAAATTCTATAGGTAAAGTCACAAAAATGTTGGGCCCATAGGGGCCCACTAAGGACTCCCTTTTGATAATCCGAACTGTTCAACATACAGAACTCGTCGATTAATATATTCTTGTAAAAAATGACGTTGATCGGATATCGTTAGCTATATGATCAAATCAGTTTTGTACAAGCAAAACGAACGGTGTGATAGTTAACTGTTGAAAAAAAACTAATCTGATCATATAGCTATCGACGAATTGTACATATTGAACGGTTCAGATTATTAAAATGGGACCCATGGTGGCCCCCACAGACCGACCATCACTGTCCAAAAGTTATTTGTCCCGAAGGAATTGATTATTTTTCTGTATAGGCATGCTGGGGCAGCCACAGGGAGCCGTACAATCATTCACCTTTCTTCCACTAAATACTTTATTTATATAATTTTTTATTACACATTTTTTTATAAAAAGACAAAATTAATCCAAACATCTATTTTTTTTTTAAACTTTTTAATTCAAAAAAACAAAAAATATAATTATTTAAGACACTTCAAATAACCTCTAAGTATGTAACAATACTGTATTGTTGATTGTATGGTTTTACTTGATATGGAAGTCAATTAATAGATGTTACCCTCCCATTATGGATCGGACATGTACGGCTGGCATTACGACATCACGTGTGTTCTTGGGATGGGAGAAATATTAAGGCTTAGTTTTGGGTACACTAAAAAAGTTACGATAATGTTACGTAACTCAAATTTTGTGGCTCAAAAGTGGCTCAAATGGCCGAAACGACATCGTTTTGAGTACAGAACAACATAAAAATGGCCAAAACGACGTCGTTTTGGCCATTTGAGCCACTTTTGAGCCACAAAATTTGAGTTACGAGACATTTTCCAAAAAGTTAAAAAGTCAAAAAATTATTATCTTATTTAAGTCACATCATCTTATTTAAGTTATATCACCTCTTTACCATATCACTTCAAACTCAATCCATACCTAACCCATATTTCATAAAAAGTCAAAAAGTGCACTTATTTAGATCATCCCAAACCACCCTTAAGATATTAGACTACTCCTTCATCCCAAAATAATAATGTTATATGTATAGATTAATACAACAATGCTAGGTATCTCAAAATTTTGTGACTTAAATAGTTCAAATCACTCAAAACGGCGTCATTGAGGCTCAAATAGTTCAAATCACTCAAAACGACAACGACGTCGTTTTGACAGATTTGAGCCACAAAATTTTGAGCTACCAAACATTTTCCAGATTAATATACATATTAGTATATTAATAGATAATGTATTATTATTTGTATGTTTTTAGATATTTGTAACTTATATAATAAATGTGATCAATAATAATATCATAATAATAGTTAGTACACTACTATATACACTAATTGATGCATGTAGTATCACTGATCCCAAAATAGTGGTCCTTTTTAGGGAATTTAACTTTTTTTGATAGTACAATTATTGCACTTTAAAAAATTAATTTTTTAAAATTATCCTTTGATAATACATTTTTTAGGAATATCAATGTCATAATTATACTTTCTATGATGTTAATGAATTTAAAAGAAAGGAAAAGTAGGAAATTTATATTATTTTTGTACTTGATTTTTTAAAATGGACTAATATTTTGGGACAATAAAAAATCGAATAAGAGACTAATATTTTGGGACGGAGGAAGTATTAATATTCAGGTTTAAAAATTAGGGTAGTGTTTGATGGAGTTTTAAAATTATGATTTAATAATAGAGTTGTATTTTGAGTTTGTAAGTTTTGAAATTATGATTTGAGTATAGAAAATTTGTTTGATTATAAGTTTTGAATTGAATTTGAAATAAATGATGTGACATATGATATTTGATTCAAAAACTTACAACTCATATCCAAACACATAACTCAAAATTCAATTCAAAACTCATAAAAAAAATTTAAAAAAAAATTCAAAAATATTTTTTATTTAAAATATAAAAATAACAGGTGAAAAAAAAACACCGAACACTGTTCCAGTCAACTGGCTGGTCAACCGACCGAACATCTAGAGCTGAACAACCAGGTTAGCAAAATTTTCCTACTCAAAAAAGAATTTTCAAAAGTGGGTGTAGAATTATAATTTAAAAGTTGAAAAGAAACACTACACTCAAAAGTGCGGGTTGAAATGTGTTTGGAGCACCTTTCCAAACACAACCCAGATTTATTTTTTAAATTTAATAATATGTTAAGAAGATAATTGATTGATAATTAAATATTTTTTAATTATCAGTCAATCAATCATTTTTTGGACACATCACTAAATTTAAAAAGTAAGTCTAAAAAGTAACTTATTGTACGGGGAAGAAATAATTTTCCTCGTATAATCCTGTTGACTAAGTCCGTGCTCCTCCGTACGATGTCGCTTTGTCACCTGAAAACACAAACGTGAGCTAGCCGGCGGGTGTGTGCCGGAAACCTCTCCGATGCCTAAGTCAGAAAACTTGACAAATAGACAAAGCTCAATGTATTCAGGAAGCAAAATTGTATGTTGTGTTATGTTTTGTTACCTCCTCCAAGGTGATACTTGTGAGCTTTTATAGGTTTCGAGTGGCCCAATCCTAGTAGGACTTTTATTCCTCCATGCAGAGTCCTCCTAGGATTCATACTCCCAAAGAATAATGCTTATCTTTTACACCCCCCACTGCTTAAAC